AACCTAACCTAACCTAACCTAACCTAACCTAACCTAACCTAACCTAACCTAACCTAACCTAACCTAACCTAACCTAACCTAACCTAACCTAACCTAACCTAACCTAACCTAACCTAACCTAACCTAACCTAACCTAACCTAACCTAACCTAACCTAACCTAACCTAACCTAACCTAACCTAACCTAACCTAACCTAACCTAACCTAACCTAACCTAACCTAACCTAACCTAACCTAACCTAACCTAACCTAACCTAACCTAACCTAACCTAACCTAACCTAACCTAACCTAACCTAACCTAACCTAACCTAACCTAACCTAACCTAACCTAACCTAACCTAACCTAACCTAACCTAACCTAACCTAACTCTAACCTAACCTAACCTAACCTAACCTAACCTAACCTAACCTAACCTAACCTAACCTAACCTAACCTAACCTAACCTAACCTAACCTAACCTAACCTAACCTAACCTAACCTAACCTAACCTAACCTAACCTAACCTAACCTAACCTAACCTAACCTAACCTAACCTAACCTAACCTAACCTAACCTAACCTAACCTAACCTAACCTAACCTAACCTAACCTAACCTAACCTAACCTAACCTAACCTAACCTAACCTAACCTAACCTAACCTAACCTAACCTAACCTAACCTAACCTAACCTAACCTAACCTAACCTAACCTAACCTAACCTAACCTAACCTAACCTAACCTAACCTAACCTAACCTAACCTAACCTAACCTAACCTAACCTAACCTAACCTAACCTAACCTAACCTAACCTAACCTAACCTAACCTAACCTAACCTAACCTAACCTAACCTAACCTAACCTAACCTAACCTAACCTAACCTAACCTAACCTAACCTAACCTAACCTAACCTAACCTAACCTAACCTAACCTAACCTAACCTAACCTAACCTAACCTAACCTAACCTAACCTAACCTAACCTAACCTAACCTAACCTAACCTAACCTAACCTAACCTAACCTAACCTAACCTAACCTAACCTAACCTAACCTAACCTAACCTAACCTAACCTAACCTAACCTAACCTAACCTAACCTAACCTAACCTAACCTAACCTAACCTAACCTAACCTAACCTAACCTAACCTAACCTAACCTAACCTAACCTAACCTAACCTAACCTAACCTAACCTAACCTAACCTAACCTAACCTAACCTAACCTAACCTAACCTAACCTAACCTAACCTAACCTAACCTAACCTAACCTAACCTAACCTAACCTAACCTAACCTAACCTAACCTAACCTAACCTAACCTAACCTAACCTAACCTAACCTAACCTAACCTAACCTAACCTAACCTAACCTAACCTAACCTAACCTAACCTAACCTAACCTAACCTAACCTAACCTAACCTAACCTAACCTAACCTAACCTAACCTAACCTAACCTAACCTAACCTAACCTAACCTAACCTAACCTAACCTAACCTAACCTAACCTAACCTAACCTAACCTAACCTAACCTAACCTAACCTAACCTAACCTAACCTAACCTAACCTAACCTAACCTAACCTAACCTAACCTAACCTAACCTAACCTAACCTAACCTAACCTAACCTAACCTAACCTAACCTAACCTAACCTAACCTAACCTAACCTAACCTAACCTAACCTAACCTAACCTAACCTAACCTAACCTAACCTAACCTAACCTAACCTAACCTAACCTAACCTAACCTAACCTAACCTAACCTAACCTAACCTAACCTAACCTAACCTAACCTAACCTAACCTAACCTAACCTAACCTAACCTAACCTAACCTAACCTAACCTAACCTAACCTAACCTAACCTAACCTAACCTAACCTAACCTAACCTAACCTAACCTAACCTAACCTAACCTAACCTAACCTAACCTAACCTAACCTAACCTAACCTAACCTAACCTAACCTAACCTAACCTAACCTAACCTAACCTAACCTAACCTAACCTAACCTAACCTAACCTAACCTAACCTAACCTAACCTAACCTAACCTAACCTAACCTAACCTAACCTAACCTAACCTAACCTAACCTAACCTAACCTAACCTAACCTAACCTAACCTAACCTAACCTAACCTAACCTAACCTAACCTAACCTAACCTAACCTAACCTAACCTAACCTAACCTAACCTAACCTAACCTAACCTAACCTAACCTAACCTAACCTAACCTAACCTAACCTAACCTAACCTAACCTAACCTAACCTAACCTAACCTAACCTAACCTAACCTAACCTAACCTAACCTAACCTAACCTAACCTAACCTAACCTAACCTAACCTAACCTAACCTAACCTAACCTAACCTAACCTAACCTAACCTAACCTAACCTAACCTAACCTAACCTAACCTAACCTAACCTAACCTAACCTAACCTAACCTAACCTAACCTAACCTAACCTAACCTAACCTAACCTAACCTAACCTAACCTAACCTAACCTAACCTAACCTAACCTAACCTAACCTAACCTAACCTAACCTAACCTAACCTAACCTAACCTAACCTAACCTAACCTAACCTAACCTAACCTAACCTAACCTAACCTAACCTAACCTAACCTAACCTAACCTAACCTAACCTAACCTAACCTAACCTAACCTAACCTAACCTAACCTAACCTAACCTAACCTAACCTAACCTAACCTAACCTAACCTAACCTAACCTAACCTAACCTAACCTAACCTAACCTAACCTAACCTAACCTAACCTAACCTAACCTAACCTAACCTAACCTAACCTAACCTAACCTAACCTAACCTAACCTAACCTAACCTAACCTAACCTAACCTAACCTAACCTAACCTAACCTAACCTAACCTAACCTAACCTAACCTAACCTAACCTAACCTAACCTAACCTAACCTAACCTAACCTAACCTAACCTAACCTAACCTAACCTAACCTAACCTAACCTAACCTAACCTAACCTAACCTAACCTAACCTAACCTAACCTAACCTAACCTAACCTAACCTAACCTAACCTAACCTAACCTAACCTAACCTAACCTAACCTAACCTAACCTAACCTAACCTAACCTAACCTAACCTAACCTAACCTAACCTAACCTAACCTAACCTAACCTAACCTAACCTAACCTAACCTAACCTAACCTAACCTAACCTAACCTAACCTAACCTAACCTAACCTAACCTAACCTAACCTAACCTAACCTAACCTAACCTAACCTAACCTAACCTAACCTAACCTAACCTAATAACCTAACCTAACCTAACCTAACCTAACCTAACCTAACCTAACCTAACCTAACCTAACCTAACCTAACCTAACCTAACCTAACCTAACCTAACCTAACCTAACCTAACCTAACCTAACCTAACCTAACCTAACCTAACCTAACCTAACCTAACCTAACCTAACCTAACCTAACCTAACCTAACCTAACCTAACCTAACCTAACCTAACCTAACCTAACCTAACTACCTAACCTAACCTAACCTAACCTAACCTAACCTAACCTAACCTAACCTAACCTAACCTAACCTAACCTAACCTAACCTAACCTAACCTAACCTAACCTAACCTAACCTAACCTAACCTAACCTAACCTAACCTAACCTAACCTAACCTAACCTAACCTAACCTAACCTAACCTAACCTAACCTAACCTAACCTAACCTAACCTAACCTAACCTAACCTAACTAACCTAACCTAACCTAACCTAACCTAACCTAACCTAACCTAACCTAACCTAACCTAACCTAACCTAACCTAACCTAACCTAACCTAACCTAACCTAACCTAACCTAACCTAACCTAACCTAACCTAACCTAACCTAACCTAACCTAACCTAACCTAACCTAACCTAACCTAACCTAACCTAACCTAACCTAACCTAACCTAACCTAACCTAACCTAACCTAACCTAACCTAACCTAACCTAACCTAACCTAACCTAACCTAACCTAACCTAACCTAACCTAACCTAACCTAACCTAACCTAACCTAACCTAACCTAACCTAACCTAACCTAACCTAACCTAACCTAACCTAACCTAACCTAACCTAACCTAACCTAACCTAACCTAACCTAACCTAACCTAACCTAACCTAACCTAACCTAACCTAACCTAACCTAACCTAACCTAACCTAACCTAACCTAACCTAACCTAACCTAACCTAACCTAACCTAACCTAACCTAACCTAACCTAACCTAACCTAACCTAACCTAACCTAACCTAACCTAACCTAACCTAACCTAACCTAACCTAACCTAACCTAACCTAACCTAACCTAACCTAACCTAACCTAACCTAACCTAACCTAACCTAACCTAACCTAACCTAACCTAACCTAACCTAACCTAACCTAACCTAACCTAACCTAACCTAACCTAACCTAACCTAACCTAACCTAACCTAACCTAACCTAACCTAACCTAACCTAACCTAACCTAACCTAACCTAACCTAACCTAACCTAACCTAACCTAACCTAACCTAACCTAACCTAACCTAACCTAACCTAACCTAACCTAACCTAACCTAACCTAACCTAACCTAACCTAACCTAACCTAACCTAACCTAACCTAACCTAACCTAACCTAACCTAACCTAACCTAACCTAACCTAACCTAACCTAACCTAACCTAACCTAACCTAACCTAACCTAACCTAACCTAACCTAACCTAACCTAACCTAACCTAACCTAACCTAACCTAACCTAACCTAACCTAACCTAACCTAACCTAACCTAACCTAACCTAACCTAACCTAACCTAACCTAACCTAACCTAACCTAACCTAACCTAACCTAACCTAACCTAACCTAACCTAACCTAACCTAACCTAACCTAACCTAACCTAACCTAACCTAACCTAACCTAACCTAACCTAACCTAACCTACCTAACCTAACCTAACCTAACCTAACCTAACCATTGAACAAATAGACATAGCAACAGATAAATTAACAATATCCATAACAGACACTTGCAAGCAAACAATGCCAACCAAAAAAGCTACAGAAGAACTTACCTTGCCGTGGTGGTCCGATAAGCTCAACAAGATGAAAAAAGAAGTCACTACCATGAAACGAAGGATCAAATGTGCTGCCCTGGTCCGTAGACAGAAGGTCGTAGAAGAGTACCTGGAACAAAAAGAGAGGTATGAGTCAGAAGCTATTAAAGCCCAGATCGAGAGCTGGAAATACTTTTGCTGCAAGCAGGATAAGGAGGGGGTCTGGGAAGGTATCTATAGGGTAATTGGGAGAACAACGCGCAGGGACGAGGACCAGCCACTGGAAATCAATAAGGTAGTGTTAGACGCAAAAGGTTCCGTGAAGTTATTGGCGGAAACGTTCTTTCCGGAGGACTTAACAGACAGCGAAAACACTTACCATCGCCACGTAAGAATAAAAGCTGACAAAGTGAACTCTGCTGAGCAAGATGACCTGTGTGATCCCCTGTTCACAATGTTAGAATTGAAACAGGCGTATCGATCCTTCAACCCGAAAAAGGCCCCAGGAGCGGACGGTTTCACAGCTGATATATGTCTACACGCTATAGAAAGCAACCCCGAGTTATTCTTGACCTTCCTTAATAAATGTTTAACTCTACAACACTTCCCGAAAACCTGGAAAATCGCGACAGTCATAGTGCTTAAAAAACCAGGGAAAGTAGATTACACCATGCCGAAAGCGTATAGGCCCATTGGACTACTACCTATACTAGGAAAGATCTTTGAGAAAATGCTGGTGAACCGCCTCAAATTTCACCTTTTGCCAAGGATAAGTACTCGCCAGTACGGGTTCATGCCACAGAGAAGCACCGAAGACGCCCTCTATGTACTAATGCAGTTCATTCACATGAAGCTGAATCAAAAGAAAATTATAGCGCTAGTATCATTGGACATCGAGGGAGCTTTTGATAGCGCCTGGTGGCCAGCCATACGAGTCCGACTGGCTGAGGAAAGGTGTCCGCTTAACTTGAGGAGGGTCATAGATAGTTATCTCAAAGACAGGAAAGTCGTAGTCAGGTACGCTGGAGAGGAATATGCTAAAGGTACAAGCAGAGGTTGTGTCCAGGGATCCATTGGAGGCCCAATCCTATGGAATCTTCTGCTAGACCCTCTCTTGAAAAGTCTCGAATGCAGGGGAGATTATTGTCAGGCGTTCGCGGACGACGTCGTATTAGTCTTCGACGGCGACACAGCACACGAAGTGGAGCGACGTGCCAATGCCACTCTAGAACATGTCTGTGCGTGGGGTGTTGAAAATAAATTGAAGTTTGCGCCACACAAGACGAACGCGATGATAATAACAAGAAAACTGAAACACGATGTACCACGCCTCAACATGGGAGGTACTGCAATTGGCATGTCAAAAGAAATAAAGCTACTTGGGTTTACAATTGACGAAAAGCTTACTTTTAACACCCATGTATCGAATGTGTGTAAGAAGGCAATCGGCATCTACAAACAACTATGCAAAGCGGCGAAGGTTAGTTGGGGACTCCATCCGGAAGTGATAAGAGTGATATATCTCGCGACCGTAGAGCCTATTATACTTTACGCTGCTAGCGTTTGGGCACAGGCTGCAAAAAAGCTGGGGATAATAAAACAACTCGCCGTAGTCCAGCGCGGTATCGCGCAAAAACTATGCAAAGCCTACCGAACGGTCTCTCTGAATTCGGCGCTAGTACTGGCTGGAATACTCCCCCTGGACCTCCGAGTCCGTGAGGCTGCTTTATTATATGAAGCCAAGAGGGGGCTGCCACAGCCAGTGTTGGCGGGAAGAGAGGTCGAGAGAATGGCTTCAGCTTTTGAGGGCCCACACCCTGCTGAGCGCCTGGAATTAGGAATTATTTGTTTGGTAAACGAGGAGCAGGTGAACAAACACAGCGAAATAAACGTCCACATATTTACTGACGGGAGCAAGATTGAGGGCAAGGTTGGCGCCGCCCTTTCCGAATGGAAAAACAAGACCGAAAATAAAGCCCTCAAACTTGCTCTACCAACATACTGCACAGTTTACCAAGCCGAGCTCCTGGCCATTTGCAGGGCGACTGGACAAATCCTCAAGCACAGAGCGTCCTCCTTTGGAATTTACAGCGACTCAATGGCGGCCCTTCAAACGATCATAAATCCAAACTGCCTTCACCCGTTAGCCGTGGAATGTAGAGATAATTTAAGAGCAATATCTCTCCAAAGCAAAGTAGTAACTTTGTTTTGGATTAAAGCCCACGCGGGCTTAGAGGGGAATGAACGAGCAGACAGACTAGCAAAAGAGGCCGCAAAAAATTCCAAAGTGAGACCGGATTACGATCTTTGCCCGGTTTCATTCGTCAAGCGAAGCATCCGTATGGCAACGCTAGACAAATGGAACCAAAGATACCAGACTGGCGAAACAGGAAAGATCACGAAGCTGTTTTTCCCAGACGCGAAAGTGGCCTACCGAATAATAAGAAAATTTGAAGCAAGCAGCGAGACTACTCAAGTCATGACAGGGCATGGTGGATTTTCTGAATACTTACACCGCTTTAAGTGTAAAGAGAATCCATCGTGCATTTGCGACCGCGATGCTGAAGAAACTGTGCCACACATTTTGCTGGATTGTCCCGCATACGCCGCAGAGCGCCTGAAAATAGAAAACGAAATTGAATTAAAATTAATTAAGGAGAATATAAATATCATAATGATGAGTAAATACAGAGAAAAATTTATGAGTTATTGTTTGAAAATTGCAAAAAGAGTAATAAATAGGAATAAAACTGTTTAA